TAACACAAAGCACCTGTATCCAAAACAGACCCTGAAAGAGTAAAATTGACATTGCAAAACCAGAGATTAAAATGTGCGCAGCTTGAAAATGAGCTTAAAGAAATGAGGACAGAACTACTGAAATCAAACATTGAGGTTGATGGCAAATTAAATGATGACTTGATTAAAATCATGGATTCTTCAAGAGCCAAAATTACACCTTTTATGAACTTATCGTATTCCTGAAACTTTCACCTCTCATCTTTGTAAAAACTAAAATTTTTTTTGAATCGTTTTCGGGATTTTCCGAGGTTAAAATATCTTTAAAGCCAACGTTTCGACCAGTTTTAAGGGTCTTCTTCAGGTTCTTTCAAAGGTTGTCATTATAGCGGATTGTTTAGTCTTTTAGCTTGGTGACCGCACATGATGTTTCTTGATCATTATACGACGTTTAAACGATGTCAAATTGCGCGGGAAATGTAGTCTGAGGTCTCTCAAGTATTTCTACTCTTTCGATAATTCATTGCCTAGTACAGTCTTTTTTCATGATCAAGGAATGAGTTTAGGACTGGTTTCCATGCTTCAACGGATGTTCCGAAGAACGCCTGTTGATTGGCGTGGCGCTGTCCATTGGAAAGGCCGAACAATGCCGCACGCTTTTTATTTTTTGATTTTACTAATATATTCAGATAGGTCGTGATAGAAATAGGGTCATTTTTATTTTTTTGTTAAGCGCTCGCAGATGTCGGACTTATGAGTTTTTCTCTCGTTGTGGACTCGCTTTTTTTCGTTTAAAACACAATTTCCTCTCGTCGAAACAACGGGGTCAAAATTGTTAAAGACTCTCATTCCGCGATGTTTTTGTTGTAGTGACTCCATTCCTTCAAGAACTTTTCTTTGCCGTAATCCTCTCTCTGTTGCTACGATCTCTGCGTTTCCCCAGTCAACACCACGCACTTTGGCACTCCACGGTGTGTCGTGCTAGGCCTCCATCTTCTTTGCCCATCCATTTTTCGGCCGATAGAGTGTTTCCTTTATAAAGGTCCTCATTTGTTAGTCTCACTTTG